ATGCCAAGCCCAGTCAGAATGTTCTGGTTGTACCCACAGAGCAGTGCATGCTGGAGCAAGAAGAAATGTAAAGTGTTCAGGAGTGGTAATGGCAGCTTTGGGACATGAGGGTTTCTTGCTGGGAGTTGCTTTGTGAGTGGCTACTGCAACTGTGTATCCAACAGCAGGGTGTCTGTGTGCGGGTGTGTGTCTGTGTGGGTGGGAGTAAAGACTTGGCAGAGTTGAGGCAGATGCTTAGTCATCACATCTTGTTTGTTAGGGAGACCTGGCCAGATCTTGCAAAGCTTCTCAGGAAACAGTCCCAGCCCAGGCACTAGGAGTAGCCAGCTTTCCAAACAACTTCCACCAAGAGCTTCCACCAGGCCATTAAGTAGGAACAATGATGGTGGCAGTCCTGCAACAAGAGTTAGCTCATTGCACCAGGTCCACTGAGGGTGCAGATTTGTCTTTGGAGGGCCGCCAATGTATGGATGCAAACATGCTTTCAAATAAAGGGGACAAAGGCAATCCCAGCAGAAAATATGTGCAAAGCTAGAGATGCTGAGAAAGCACTTTGGAGATTGTGGAATGATCCTCCTCCTCCTCCTCTGGTTGTTATAACTATTTGTATAGCCTCTTCACACGCTCTTCACACTCATGATCACATTTTACAATAGGTCATTAAAAGTAGGCAAGGATGAATTACACCTCCCCCCCTCCATTTTACAGCTGGAGAAACTGATAAGGTCAGCCAAATGAATTGCTGAAAGCCAAATTGTTAGTAAGTGCGCTGGGACTAGACCTCAGGTCTCATAACTTGCACGATGCCTGGGCCTTAACCTTAATTTTATATTCATCCTTGAGTATATCTCACATGAATTTAGAGAACATCTCAAGGACAGACTTGACAAACTGCATACTAATGACAGGTCATGATGAGCTAGGGGATAACAACAAGAACATCTTACAGGAAGAAAGCAAAATAAAGAAATGAAAGAATACATAAATAAATATCTTTTAAAAAAAACCAAACTCTGCCATTGAGTTGATTCGACTCATAGCAACCCTAAAAGGACGAACATGCCCAGCCTACCTCGAGCTGAAAGAACAGAAGAAAAATTTCAAGCCTCGAGTTGTTAATTTTGAAGGATTCTATGGACAAAATGTTGAGTAGTGTAGGAAGCATCCAAAAAAGAGCGAACGAGCTAGGAGTAGTCACTGTACTAGAAAGAATTGACATTCAACCATTTCAAGAGGTACCATATGATCGAGAATTGATGGTAGTGACGGGGAAAATGCAAGTTGCACTGAAGGCCTTACCAGAAAAACAAGGCTCCAGATATTGATGGAATACCAATTGAAATGTTTCAACAAGCTGATGAAGGACTGGAAACCTTCACTCATCTATGCCAGTAAATTTGGAAGCCATCTACCTGTTCAACTGACAGGAATAAATATATATTTATGCCCATCACAAAGAAAGGTGATCCAACATAATGCAGAAACTATCTAACAATCATTAATATCACCTGCAAGTAAAGTTCTTCTGAAGAGAACTCAACAAAGGTTGCAGCAGTAGATGGACAGGTTGCTGCTAGAAATTCATGCTGGACAGTATCATATACTGCCATGAGAATAACAAATCTGCCTTGAAAGAAGCACAGTCAGAATGCTCCTTAGACGTGAAGATGGCTAGATTTCCTCTCACATGCTTTGGACATGTTATCAGGTAGGTAGGACATGACATCATGCTTAGTAAATGGAGAGTTGGCGATAAAGAAAAGAGCTATCAAGGAGATGGGTCAATTCACTGGCTACAAGTATGGGCTCAAACACAACCATTGTGAGGATGGTACAGGACTTAACAACAACAAAAGAGGCTTTCTCTAGGGCACATGGCTAGGTAGAAGCAGAGTCAGGAGTAGAACCCAAGCACCCTGCACTTGCTCCAAAAGAAGGGATGAAAGCAGCCAGAGAAGTCAGCTGACAGGCCCGTTTGTTGGTTCAAGATCTGTTCATGAACACAAGGGAGGTAGAAGAGCCTTGGTGTTTAGTCCCCAATTGTCTTGTGGAGAAACCACTTTGGAAATAGAAAAATGAAAGATGCTAAAAGCACTCAAGGTGTCAGATCTAGGTGGCTAAATAGATCTGGATGAATCACAAGGACCCAATTGACGTTTCCTCAGATTAGGGAGGAAATCATGGCATAGCGGAGAGCCTGTCACTCCAAATAACAAGTTTGCCATGATTCCAGCCGATTTCCAGTGAGTTTCTTTTTCCTCTAGAAGTGTCTCAAAAGGGACCCGAGACGCCAGGCTGGTAGAATCACTGAACACATGAGGCGAAGTGTGTTTGGGGAGAGGGTATCCTCTTCCCTGTAAATGAAATGTTCTGCCATGTGGACCAGGTTTTTGTTTGCAAAACATTTCGGGTTAATCATGCCTAAGTAACTGGCCAGAATTACTGGAGAGTATCAATGTACATGGGGACACAGAAATCGGTGGATGTAATCTACTGAGATTCCAAAAAGAGCCTTGACAAGGACTCACACCGACCGTTGTTTAGAATAGGTTTAGGTTACCATGGACCTGGGGAGCCGTGTATAAGGAAGTGGTTGCAGAAGTGCTAGGAAACCAAGGGGAGAAATGAGCAGGCACTTCTGCAGAAGAGGAGCCTGTTGATGCTGTCTGGTAAACATCAACCTGCTAACCACAAGGTTGACAGTTTCAACCTACCAGCTGCTCTGGGGAAAAAGTTGAGGCTCTCTGCTTCCTTAAAGATGGACAGTCCAGGCCACCCTACCAAGTGTTGACTTGATGGTAGTAAGTTTGGAGCTTATTCTGGAGAAGGGAGTTCGTGGACAGTGAAAATGATTATGCACTCAAGTGCTCACAGAAAAATGGGTAGTTTGAACTCACCCCTGAGGCACCCTGGTAGAAATGCCTGGCAATCTTGTTTCTGAAAGGTCACAGGTATGAAAACCCTAAAGAGGGCAGCAGTTCTGCTCCTCAACACACGGGGTCTCTATGACTCAGAATGGATTCGACAGCACCTGGTATTCTAGAGAAAGGAGGGCAGCGGTAGGTCACGGGATTGAATCCGTGCCAGGACCAGTTAACATGTTGGTGAATCATCTGGGCGACTGTTAACCAGCCATCAACTTTTCCAGGAGAGCAAAATGCAAAGCTGATGCTGGCTCTTTAAAGCTTGTATTGTGGGGCAACGAAAGAAGATTGAGAGTGGCTCACAGTGTGGGTTCGGTAACCTGATTGCCTGGCTCTGCACCCTACTTCTACCCTTAGTGACCGCACAAACAGCCATTTCCTCATCTGTGATTATAAGAGGTCCTATTCACAGGGGTATTGTGAACATAAGAGGAGACAATACATGTAGCGTTCTAGCTGAGTCCTTAGATCGTGGTATGTGTCCGACAAACGTTTACATCTATGACCTTTACAGCTAGTATTTTTTATCAACATTCCTCTTACAGGTTGCCAGGCTCTGAATGTTCATGTTTTCCCTAGGAATGGAACTACTTGGGATCATTGCAGACTACAAGTTTTCATAATTCAGAGGATGGAGATAACTGAGGTAGTTGTGAAAGGTTTAATGGTAAAGAATGACTATAGAGCATCTAGTATGTGCAAAGACATTGGACTAGGTGGCTTATAATCAAAACGTAAGGAGTCAGAATTCAAATGCAGGGTTGCTCTACTTGAATACCTATTTTCTTTCCTCTGTATCCTACTTAAATTGGATCTTCAGAGATGGGTCTGACTGAAGAAGGATCTGAAGGCTCATGGTGTAGAACTAAACATGGGCAGTGTTATACAGATTGAAACATAAACAGTAAGTTATGGAGGTTCATGGGTCAGAAGGTGCTCTTACCAGAGAAGGCGAATGGGGGTGGGGGTGGGGGAGCTGCTGGTGGAAAGTGAAGCTGGAATGGCAAGGTTAGGCTACATCAAAAGGCCGGTACAACTCTGCTAAAGACTCTGGACTTTATCCTCAAGGCAACACGGAGAGGATGAACCATTTGAGCTAGAGAGAGGTTTGAGATGTTTTGAAAAGATTCACCTGGCAGCTGTGCGAGATGAATTTGATGAAATGATGGAACCTTCTGCCTGGATCTCTGATTCTTTGTTTTCGATTATGCTAGCCTAAGGCTTTCAATACTCCTGCCTTAGCCTAGTCACTTGGAGACTACTTAGGGTGTGACTATAATTGCATACACAGTAGCGTTGAAGTGGAGAAGAGAAAGGATGCAGTGACCAATGCAGAAAAGATCACACACACACACACACACACACACACACACACACCAGCAAGGATTTAGGGCCCAACTGTGTATGAGGGGCAAGGGAGAGGAAAAAGTTAAATATGACTTTAGTTTGAAGTCTCAGTGAAGGGGAGTGGGGGGTGGGGGGTGGAGGAGAATGGTGGCAGCATGAGAAAAACAAGACTGTGAACGGTGGAGCCAGTTGGCGAGTTAGATCTGTGACGAGTTTTGTTTGGCGTAATGATGGGGGACAGGCTGGTAGAAATGACTAGTATGCATCTGGAGATGGGAGATTGTAGCTCAGGAGAGTAGTCAAGGCTAGAGGTAATAGCTGTATAATTATCTCTGAAGTAGTGTTGTATAGTAGTTCAAACAGTAAGAGTGAAATCTCATTTCCCTATAGAAAAATCCTGATCAAAAGAGGGAAAACACTGAACAGAATTTCAAATTCTCACTGGGTCTAGACTTACAGGAGCCATGGATGCAACTTGAAACTGTTGCCCTGAAACCCCTTGAAACTATTGCCCTGAGATCATCTTTAAATGCCCCTCTCCATAAAAGATCCCCAGAAGTCATCTTGAAAAAAATCAACAATAGTTTAGCTTTAACTAGTAAGGAATATCTGGCTTGAGCATGGTATTCTTTTAAGATCTCTCTATATGAGAACAATAGATCCAGAAGAGATTTAATTCCCAAGCGTGGTCATATGTAGCCCAGAGTTGAACGGGCAGGAATCTGTTACCTGCAAGGAAGCGAAGCTGGTTCTTCACTTTTACTACCCCATCACCAGAGCCTCCAATGCATTCATCTTCATCATCGCCGCAGTCTCCACTGGCAAGCTCTTCCTCATCCAGGTTTTTATCCTGAACCTGACCTTTAGGTACAGACATGGTTCTCAGGAGCTGAAATAAAACAACAAGGAATGTAACCAGCTCTTCCTACTGCTCAGGTAAGCCTAGAGCAGCGGTTCTCAACCTGTGGGTCAAGACCCCTTTGGGGGTCAAACAATCCTTTCACAGGGGTTGCCTATTACATCCTGCATATCAGATATTTACATGATGATCCATACAGTAGCAAAATGACAGTTATGAAGTAGCAATGAAAATAATTACGGTTGGGGGTCATCACAACATGAGGACCGCGAAGAAACCATCCATCCAGTACCTGTCTCTATAGATTTACCTATCCTGGATTTCAGACAGAAAAACATTTTTAAAAACTAACAACAAAGTAAAACAGATAAAAATCTCATTATAAAGGAAAACAGAAAATAGTAAACACTAGAACAAATTTAAATGGACCATAAGGGAGATCACGTGATAGGGTGCTAAATTTTACCATAAGTGTATTTGCAACAATTCACTATCCAATGTGTTCTATACGATAGCAAGGCTATTCATACCCCTGGCCCCTGGTCATCAGGGGCCTAATCCATGTGTATTCCCACTACTGGACTTACACCACCCAGTAGGCAGAATATATATTGCATCAGATCTTCCTATGCTATAGTTTTTATGTCTCAGAAAACCTTTGTTGTAGGGGAAGTTAAGAACTGCTCAGAAAAGATCCCTATAGAAGCCCACTCACAAAATTAGAACCACAAATGCTTCCCTTGAAATGAAAAGTAGTGTTCTTTTATACCATTTTAAATGAGAACAACATGATTAATTGCAACGTAACATGTGTCATAACAAGAAGAGCTTTTAAATATTACTCTCTTTAACAATTTCACTAAGATGTTTTAAAAATAATGTTGCATTATGGTAGATAATACAGGGGCAAATAAAAGTGTTACTACTAGGGTTCCAGTTCATACACGCATGGGTTTATTCCAAACAAAACGTGTTTAAACATGCATCTGTCATCAGTGGGTTGATACAGATAAGTTCTCTTAGTCATATACTGTCTTAGTTTCCTTAGGGTGCCTTAAAAAAAAAGTCCAATCCACACAGTGGCTCCTGAAGGGATCTGCTGGGCTAGTTCATTTTGAGGGAGAAAAGTCAGCTCAAAGGTGATGCCAAGAGTGTTTGGGGATTTTGGAGGGGTTACCTGGATACATTTTCTCAAAACACACAGATGATCACAGGGGCTTGCTTATAATGAAGACATTTTAAGAAAATTTAAAACTTGCATTAGTGAGAAAAAGCCAGGAAAGGTGTACCAAGAGATTTCTTTCATTCATGACAACACACTTGCTCATTGTTCAAGGATAGCAGGGGCCCATCCTAGGAGACGTCCATTGGGAAAACTTACTCATTCATCCTATAGCTCTGATCTTGCACTTTCAGAGTTTTTGTACCTAAAACTCAAAGAGAATGGATAGATTCTAAGTAGTCCTGTTGTCACAGTGGTTAATAGGCAGGTGGTTCAAATCTACCCAGCAGCTTCAAGGGACAATGACCTGGTGATCGACTCCTCTAAAGATTGTTGTTGTTCTGTATTATCATGTTGGTTCCAACCCATAGCAACGCCATGCACAACAGAAGAAAACACTGCCTGGTCATGTGCCAGCCTCGCAACTGCTCTTAGGTTGGAGACCATTGTTGCAGCCACCGTGTTAATCCATCTCCTTGAGAGCCTTCTTTATTTGCTGCCTCTCCACTTTACCAAGCGTGATGTTCCTTTTCAGGAACTGGTCTCTCTTGAGAAAATGTCCAAAGTATGTAAGATGAAGTTTTGCCATCCTTGCCTTGAAGGTGCACTCAAGTCTTGCAAGATACATTTCTCCTTTTATATTGTACTTTCAATATTCTTGAAGGGACTAATTAAAAGAGTCCTGTTGGCCCTAAAGAGTACAGCCTAGAAAATCCTATAAGGTAGTTTTGTTCTGTCACATGGGGCTTCCATGTGTTGGAAATCAACTTGATAGCACCCAATCATATAAATATATTCTTACACAACCTTCTCCATTGAATCATGGTGTTTTGGTTGAAATAGAGAAAATTCAGCCTCTCACAGATATGGAGTTGGAAAGAGATGTATTTTAACAACCTTTTCAGATAATTGTGTACATTTTCTTTAAAACTACACACAAATTTAATTAAGTTGGAAAATTTAGTTGCAATGCAAAATAATAAAGCTACATACGTGAAATCTTTATACTCCAGTATATTTAAGTCCTGATTGAATGTCTGCATGATCATGAAGTCCTGATTGAATGTCTGTATAATCATGCATGGGTTATATGGAAAATATTGGTTTACTGAGTTATGCAGGTCTTCCAAATATTGACACCTTTCATTATATGACATAAAAAACCCATTCCTTGGTATAACCTCCAATCATGATTTTTTAAAAATACTGGGATGCTCATGTGACTGGTTAAAAGTTTTCCATATTTTAAGTTTCTCTTGAAAGTTCAAATTTGATCATTATCAATAAATGCTGTCAGTTATTTGCTTTGAACTGACAAGGTCACTTTGTACTTTTTCAGGAAAATATCTAGCAAATCCTTGGGTCTACATAAGCATAGTTTATATGGTTGTATTGTTAACAATCACTTCTTTCAAATGAAATAGGTGTTGCATGAAAAAAGAGGCTAGTTTAGCTTGCAACTCAGGTAGTCACACAAGTGTTTTCCTTGAGACACACAGTTTTGCAGCATCAATAACTTAAAAGTATGTCCACTGTAACAGAGAATGTTTTAAAAGGCGAACTCAAGAGTTGAGGTTTACTAAAGTAATAATTCTTAAGTGAAATTGCCTTAGTCACCCAACTCTCCCACCTCCCCTACAAATGTGTGCCTGTGAAGAATATTATTTAATGATTACTAATACAGTTTGGCGATACTGCCTTAATTCCTACTACGGCACTAAGAGTGCAAATATCAACATAGTGAAAAAAGCAGATAATGTTTTGACCCCGTGGGTTCCTGGATTATACATTCATTCTCTGAGAACTGCTAACCTAGACCATAAACATCACTTTAGTTTGACCCCAACTGCCCTGACCCTTCTTCTTTACCATGATTTTTATAGGACAACTGATTTTGGCCTAAGCATATTTAGTTTATTTTCAAGAATACAATCTTTACATACTTCATGGACCATGAAAATTTAGTTTTCATGTTAGGTGAATTTGTGGTTAGGTATCTGTCCTCCACCAAACACCTATTATGAGTCGTTCTTGATTTATTTTGCTGGCAAGCCAAGCTCAAATGCCATTTCCTTAATAAAGCCTTTCTGTCTATCTCAGACAGACATAACAACTCTCTCCTTCCCCTCTACCATCATCACACCCTTATCTGTACCTCCTACATAGCAATTTTTGAATGCAACCTGGTATTATTTCTTTGTATATGACTTCTTTCCAATACCAGACTGTGAGCTGCCCCGGGGCTGAGTCTAAGTCATCTTTGAACCTCACAACATTTAAGGTAGTGCTCAACACACATAGCAATCAATCAATAAATCTGCTATCCAACTGAAGTAAAAGAAGTTGACATGGCTATTTAATTGTTTTACAAAGTACTTCCACACAGAGGAGAGAGGCAAAGCACAGATTAATGGTACAAGAACGTGTGAATGAGTAGCTGAACCCTTTTGGATGACCCTGGCTAAGACCTATAGCTAATCTCTGAGAGGTCATTTTCCAACCTCATGTACAATGCTCACAGTATTCTCTGGTAGTTCAGTATTTTTTTAAAAGTGACATTTGAAAAAAAAGCCTTTTAAAACTTTGCCAGTGAAGCTAACTCTTTAGTTCTTAATTGTTCCCGATTTTTAAGAACATCAGCATTGAAGAAGGAGTATAGCATACTTCTTATACACTTTTACTCAGACATCTGCTAATGAGCCTAACCCTCACATTTTAACAAAGGCAACCCAAACTTGGGAAACTATCGTTAATGCAAAAGTCAAAGAGGAGTGGAAGCCCCAAAGATGAGTTGAGAGATGGATGACATGTGCCTCAGTTCTCTAGCACTGCAATCACAGAACTACCACAAGTGAATTTAGCAAACAGAGATTAATCTTATCAGAGTTTAGGAGGCTAGAAGTCTGAATTCAGGGTGCCTGCTCTAGAAGGTCTCTTTAATTTCTGCTTCCTGGCTCCTTGGAGATCTCCATGTGGCTTAGCATCTATCTTCCCCTATCTCTCTTCTGTTTCCTTACTTGTTTAATCTCTTTGATATCTCAAAAGTGATGGACTCGAGGCTCTTTGATATCTCAAAAGAGATCGACTCAACCCTAATCCTGTCTCAGTACCATGATACAGATGACCCATTTCCAAAAGAAATTAGAGCCACAGGCACAGAGGTTAGGATCCTATAATACATATTGGGGGGGGGGGGCACAGTTCAAGTGAGGACTTGGGATTTGGCCATGAAATCAATTCAGCTAATGACACACAATCCACAATATTGTATGCTTCTCATTTCTTCTTTTATTCTTTACAACTACTTTCAGACTGAACACTCACTTCAAAGAAAGAAAATATGAGGCATTTGCACATAATGGAAGGTAACTTTAGGTACTCACTGCTTCTGATGAACTTTTTGCTATTTTCAAAGGACACTATCCTATTAACCCTTTAAAGGCTTTTAAAACCTAGGTCTGATCATTTCACTGCATCACCCCACATGACTTTCAGTAGAGAGGACATACCCTCCTTAGCAGGACCTCCTTTTCACAACCCAGTTTTTTCTCAAGAAATGCCCCTCCTTACAACCTTATGGTTTAGTCACACAAAACTAGCAGAGTCACCTAAATAATCCATTTCTATTGTAGTATATGTCTAATATTGTAAGTACCCAAGTATCACATAGTTAAACATGAAACGCTAAACATGGAAAACCACATAACCAATGTGGTAGTTACATAATCTGGTGTCAACTTGACACTCAAGAGTGAAGGGGTACAGTTTAGCCTGTCAATCAGGTCACAGCTTGATGACCTCATTTGGA